ATTATTGTGTGCTGTGACGGTGTCTCAATCGCAGGAGGATGTTGAGGACCATTATGCAACAGAAGAGTAATGTTGAAGTCGACATTTCTGCATTGGAGTCTGCATTTAGTGCACTGTGTAGCATTGGTACCCAGCATCACCATCACTTCATTCATTGCTGCCTTCAGTTCTGGAGTTCTTGAGTCCTTGGAGATGTACATTGTTGTAGCTATAAGCATAAGAACATAAATTTTCTGTTTAATGTTATAACTTTCTGCATTTCTTACTTTGACCACTAATAAAGCTGACAAACTCGACAAACATGGGAATGCAAAAACACGTATATTAAACATACCACTGCTGTGCAAAAATCATGTTAAACTGAGCATGTTACTTTTGAAATTGTGTTAATCAGAACTATCAGTCAGGAACTACCTGGGCTGTAGAAATTTTAAATGCCTTGAAAGGTAGTAGGGATGTTTATTGATAAATTAACACAGAGAACCCTAAAAAAAATTGTTTCTCATAACCCACATACAGGACGAAATAGCGTAATATGACAATCACTGAAATACAGTTGCATGCACGCCCTTCTGTCACATCACTCGAGGGCTTCAAAGTTCACCCCCGCGTCTTCTCATAGCCACCTTCAAGTAATGTCAGCCAGATGTACGCACACCTCATGCAATGTTGTGTCACTAGAAGCTTCCATTATGTTTGGTTGGTGTGCTGAAGGAACCCAAAGGATCTCAGTTTATCTCAAAGTGTGTGAAACGTGAAGAACTCTGTAGATTGTTGATAGAGGAATGGAGACGAGTTGCTGTGGGGAAGTTTAGTCATGTACAAGCAAGTGGACAGACGGTCAGGTTTTGAGCGCAAACACAGCATGGGCAAGCAAGAAAGTAATGAATTGTTGTAACTGTTGATAGTGAAATAAATCCGGACTTCGAACAAGAGCCCACAGTTAATCACTGATATTCACTACAGTGACATTTGAATGTGTTGCAGTGTACAAGACCTAGGAAGTGACAGAGTCAAAGTAGTTACACATAATTGAATCGAGAGCAGAAACTGCCAGTATCATGATTCATTGTTATCTGCTTATAGGAATGTAATTTTAGTTTATTTCTTGCATACTGAATAGAACTATATCAAGAGGACCAATCTGAGGGTATGTTAGTTGTGTGTGTGTGTGTGTGCAGGTTTTTTTTGTATTAATGGTCAGAAGGTATCTCACGCCTATTTTCAGTCTGTTACAATTTTTTCTGCGGCCAGGGCATAATACTTATCCCTCACCCCTATCTAGTGCCGAAGTCAAGAATGGGTACAAGCTATACTGCCTCTCCCCCCCAAGTACCTACATGGCGTATGGCAGGACAGCTTTACTTTACTTTTACAATTTTATTGGTATACATATTTTTTTAACACAGAAATTGCCATTCCACTTAAAATCATGTACGTTTTTGAATTGGCTTAGTTCAGATTGGAAGTTTTTGCAGTTGTGAGTACAAAGAGGCTGTCTTCTGGGTTGTAGCTGTGTAGTCTTGTAGAAGTTACCAATGTTTCAGAGGCCCTTGCTGCCTCTATCATCAAGGCAACGACCCAGAAGGCAGCCATTTTCAATTTAGTTCATGATTCATGCTTTGTGGCACTATTCATTTTCAGAAGTAACACCTTCCTGTTTTCATGTTGTCAATGTCGAAACTTCGTATTACTGTCAGTAACATGGTTAAACTTTGTGTGGTCAATGTGGAATATTATTTCAACATTTTTAAGTTAAACATGGTTGGTGGAGGATCAAACTGGAATAAAGCAAGAGGAAGAAAGTTTGATGTCATTTAAACTATGAGAGTCTGGACACATCAGAAGCCTCTAATGAAAACACTTGCCTGGACGATTATTCTGGGACTTGATTGTGGAAAATTACGAGATGGAAGGGGCTTAGTTGATTGAATATGTGAAGTGCAAGACAACAGATGTAATGTTTCACACGAAAAGTGACAGTTTTAAACTTGCAAAGAAACTTTCTGCAGTAGGATGGAATTCATAGCCAGTCTAAGGGCATGAATCGTGTTTCTGTCTGCAATAATAACAATAGGCTATTGTGTTGCTATGTCTTACCAAGTTAAAGCAACATCATATTGTGTGTGACTGCTAGTCATTTTAAGGCAAAATTATTCCATTCCCATATATTGGTAGCATTTTCTAAGAGCATGTCATTGATGAGGTGAGGAAACATGTAATTAGGCTTATGTTTTTAGTAAATACTGTGTGATTCAAAAGCCCCTACGTAAGAACAGAAATATATTTATGGTGATCTTACAGTTAGAAGTTAAATGTGGTGATCAGGGTGATACAGTTAATGTGAAAGACACGAGTCACATGCACAATCTGGCGTTTGTGTGTGTGCGTGCAGACACAGGGACTTTGAGTCACGCTGTACATATCTTTAAGTTCCGAGGTTTGTAAGATGATGGTGATCTTCTAGGTTTTGGCGCTGTGTAGACTTGTCACATCCACCAATAAGTTCGCGTGGCATAAAAACCCAGAAGACATACATCATCATCCTCGCCACTGTAAAAATCTTAGATCTTCAAAGTCCGAAATATTAGTTCACTTATTATTTGACAGTCCAATGTGTAATAGTAACATATCATAAAATGGTTTATTCAGCAATTCATTCATGTGTTTTAGGAAGAAATCTACATTATTTGTTTTAAATATATTTGTGTTTGTAAAAATATTTTGCACCTAACCTCCTCAGTTTCCGTAATTTTTGTAATGGACGTATCGCGATCATATAAACTGCATGGCCATGCATTGAATAAGACTTACCAGAAAACTATTCACCCACTTCTGAGTGCATTGATTGATCTGTGTGTAGGCTACTGCACTATTTTTAGACTGAATCTTTGTAGTAAAAGTGACTTAAATGTGCCTAATACAGGATGCTGAAGACTGTAACCACATTGCTTGCTGATAAACCACGTTCCATAGAAGCAGTGAATGTTTTGACCACCTGGATAACTGTTATATAGAAGTAGACTTGTCAGATGGAGTTAGTTAGAGGAGTATTTTGGAGGTTTCATATGTAAGAGGAATATGCATTACTAATGAGTTTTATATTAGAGGAAAGTAGGATATTGATGATTGTGTTAAGATAGTGGAGTAGAATGTGTTATTAACGTTATTGGGCATTTTCATGTTAATGAGAGTAATTCTTGTATTCTGAATTCAAATTCTACATAATCCTTATTCCTATCGTATTCTTCCAGGTAACAGTTTTATTTCCTTGTACACATGAAGTTATATCTTTCAGGTTGAAGTGATAAAATATTCTTTTGCAGACACTTTGGTGCAGTATTATTTTGTGTGGTTTGTATCCAGACTTCTTTGGAATAGATTCAGCATTTTGTTAATTTTATTTTGTTCACCTTAATGAAGAAGAGAATGATGATTGTATTGTAATAGACTAGCGTAGTGTGTAGTAATATACAGGTAGTGGTACAAGACTTGTATTAGTAATGATTAGTCTATAAGTAGTATAGTCAAACATTTGCCAAATAATAAATATTAATGCAGGGGTTCCCAAACCTTGGGTTGTGAGGACTTCTTGATGGGTCACATTGCAGAAGTCAAAACATGAAAATTGTTATATTATTATTAATTTAGTCTAGTAAATATTGCCAATGAATTTTTCAATTTAGTTTTGTGCTTGTAAATGCGCCTCTATTCACACCGAAATTAATTAAATGATGCCAAAAAATGTTGTTTCTAATTTGCAGAAAAAATGTTAAATTCTGGGTCGCAAACAAAAAAGTTTTGGAACTGCTGATCTAGTGGATTGTTATATATATTCTCACAACAGAAGAGAAGAATTTAATGTGTGTAAAGAAATCCGTTAGCTATGGTGGCACCCTAAAGTATCTACAGACCGGACTGTCCAGTTTTGGTTTCTGTTGGTGTTGAATATAATATTTTCTTGTGGGAAAGAAACATATGATTAGATGTTGTGTCATGTGTGTACCTACTCAACAGAAGAAACATATGATTAGATGTTGTGTCATGTGTATACCTACTCAACAGAAGAAATCAAAACTTGTTATCAGATTCTGAAAGCTAATTTTGTTGCATGGAGTATAAGATTCAATTGTTGTTTCATAGTGTCGTACTCTGTGTATGGTAAATAGCAAAATCAGGATTCAGACCAGTTCCTTGGTGATTCAACAGTGATACTAATATGTGTGATATTATTTGAACGTATCAACTAACATCGCTGCATGTTAAATTGTTATTATCTGGTTAATGTGTAGGCAGTTTGGACCACCATGTAATTACATTTTCGATAATAGTAGTCAGGAAGAAAATCAATCTATTAAATTATAAATTGATTATTCACTTACATGTACTTCTTTTTCAGTCTTCTGTCAGCCAGTTGAACACTTTCCCATCAAGTCAAAGCCCTCCACCAGCACATGAAAAGAACAGTGAAGAACAACAGCCTCTTGTTGAAAGGTAAATTATGTGTTTGTTTGGTGTGCATCTTGCCTTCCTCCTCCTTTATGTATGTGTACCTCCCCAGCACTGTGGTGAGATGCTGCTTTGCCCAAAGGCAAAATGTCCTGTTTTGGTATTTTAATGTGTTTCATCTTTTGTTTCTTTGGGTGTGTGGAGCAAATTATCACACACATAATTTAAATACAATTGGATCTCCAAACGTGGCATCTCTGTTGGCAATGACATTGTTACATCTCAGGCAGGTGTTGCCAACTCTCCTACCTCAATTTTCTCTTCTGTATGCAACTCAGACAGTTATGATCCTTCTTTTGGTGTTCTTAAAGATTACGCAGAAACCTTGCCCTTTTAGTTGTCTTCTGACCATAACCACATGCTGCCTCATGTTTCAAGCAGAAACTTTGCCCTTTTAGTTGTCTTTTGACCATGACCACATGCTGCCTCATGTTTCACTATAGGCATGTAATGCATGTGCAACTGTTTGTGGGCAGAGAACTCAATGCCAGTCACCTGGAGAGCGGCAGTTACCCCAGCTCTGAAACTTAAAAGGATCACTCTCTCACTGCTGGTTATAGATGCATAAGTCTCGTTGGCTTCACATGTGTAGGACCATGCAGAGCATGGTAGACCATCTTGTCTAGATCCTGGAGAGAATACATTTTTTTATTGTTTACTGTCTGTGGATTTTTGTGCCATGGATCCACTTTTGTCCACTTGGTGAATTTTTAACACCAAATCCACAGTTTGTTTCTCTTAGACCAACACCTTTCTGTTGTCTGCCTCAACCTAGATGACGAATGACACTATATGTGAATGTTCGTATCCTAAGAATCATCTGCTGGCGGAATCCTAGGGTTTATTTGCCAGTTTCTTTCCAACTTCTTTCAGGACCATTATGTCTGTATTTTTCTTAGCCGTGTTTTATCTTCAAATTATCCTGAAGAAAATGGAGTACCACAACGGTAAATTTTAAATGTGAGTCTGTTTGCATTCGCCATCAGTTGGATGGTTAGCACATTGGCTCGTTTGTCTTGATGTTACTGTTTGTTGACGTTACCATCTTTAGTTCTCAGCATCGACATCAATATAAAAGTGAGCTTCAGGTCACTATAAATCATCAGTAGTGTGTCTGAATTATTAAAAGATTCTCTATACACTTCAGTGATTGCATATTATTTAGTGATGTGAAAATCATTATGACCTGTGAATTTGGATGGCTTGTTTAAAGACATTATCATGGACTTTGTCCATCACCTGTCGATTGAAACACTATTTCTGTGTGCTTGCTGTGTAGTATACATGACTGACATTTACAGTCTCATAAATGACAAAAAGTGGGGAGTGGGTGTTGATTTCTTAACTTGCATTGTCTTTTCCAGCAGAAGGATTCAGAGTTTGTCATCAGTAGCTCTGTATCGGGCCGTTCGTCCTCGCAGCGGGAAGTTTGGCGTTGTTCTTAAACCTTTCCCACGTTCTGCGTACCTGACAAGGAAAACAAAACTTTCCGGTACACCAGCAAAAACATCAAGCAGTGCCCCAACAAACAGTGTTCGTGAAGTTGAGTCGTCTTCACAACTTGCACTTGAAGACCGTCATGTAAAAGAAGTAGCCTCATATTGAGAGTATCTTAAGAAGTAAGTGGTGTGAAAACTGATGCCATCCACACAGTTGATAGTATAAATTTGATTTAAAAATGGAATGTATTTGGCGCCACACAGTTGATAGTATAAATTTGATTGAAAAAGGGAATGTATTTGGCATAGTGTATGACAGAATGGATCTGTAGCATTCCAACACTATTTTTTTAATAGTATGTTTTTAGGTGCCGTAATAAATTTTTCTCGGCATATGTAAAACTTTAAGGGACAGATTTACATTATTTGTGGTCCAAATGAGATTGCATAAGCATCTCTTGCTGATTATTATAGTGAATACTGTTCTGTGGGGGGAATGTGTCCCATATTTATTGTCTGTTCTAATAAAAAAAATGTAAAATTTTTGTGTACAATGTAAATATATCTTATGCCTTCCAGTAATTATGATGTACTGTAATTAAAAATGTCATTTTATAAGGTGGCCTGATTCCTTACAATGTATTAATTTTTTTAATTATGTGAACCTACATAGGCGTGTTGATTTGCATTTGCTTGAGTTTTTGATTTTTTTTGTTCTTTGTGTTGTGTACTTTGCTGAAGGTAACTGTGGAATAAGCTGGATTAACTTGGGAGCTTCATATATATTGCAGTGCAATTATAATTAATTGAGGTTAAATTCTTGTGTACTATTTGCTCGAAATAGAAAATGAGTATTAGGTGAATGTTTTTGCATTTGTTCAGTAATACCAACATTTAAATACTTGAACTCAATAAATTACATGCTACACTTGGTCATAGTTTCACATGTGCAGTGAATGAGTCTAACTTCATAATTCTGGGGTATTTTAATGCTTTGTAGGTTGCAAATTGAATGTTCTATATATTCATGGACATTTTTACTTCAGGAACTAACTTATGTGAAGGAAATTTGATCATTGTTCACAGCCAGGTTTGTTTGAGTGTTAAAGTGGGGAGTTTTTAGCTCATTTGTTAAGACCAAAATTGATTAAATGTATGCATTCAGTGTTCTAACACATTCTTGCGTAATATTTTTCAAATATGCTGATTTTTAGTGTTTTATGTAAGTGCAACCAAATAACATCTCTTATTTTCTGAATTCATTTTGTTACAGTTGTCATCATGGTTGCATAAATGTGCTGAACAAATGGCAGTGGTTAATTTAAAATAAAAGTTGATTTTGTTACCCATGTGGTACATGTCCCTTTCATTCAGATTGATGTTGACAATAAAGGTAATGTTACATCTGCCACATCAGAGTTTTGGAGATGCTTCGTCAGACCCGTGTGGATTGTCCGACATTTTGCTCTTTCGAATGTTTTTTTCAGGTGGCAGTTTTATTTTTTGGTTCAGTATATATTACAGATACATTTTAGATACAACCAGTAAGGGGGATCCATAATGAGGAACATTTGGTTACTTAAGCAATTTATACTTCATAAATGTTTGTATTGTAGTGTAGAAATGGTTTAATTGTGTTTGTATTGGGTTATAAACTTTGTAGGAAATGGACGATAATGGACATTTGAGAAGATCAGTAAAGAGAACGGAAAATGTCTGGAAATGGAAAATTTTATACATAAATTCTTTACAGGCTGCTCAAATATAGATGATTAGTTTTATCAGGCAGCATCAGTAGATTATAAATATTTTGTATTTTAATAAATTTTCTTCTTGAAATCCAAGACAGTTATTAGTAATAATAATAATAATAATAAACTGCAAATGTGTAGTATTGAACCAGTTCTTTATTGTCTGTAATGAGATCAAATATCCTCATCTGTACTATTTTTACATATTAAGGAATAGCCCCTTCCGTAAATTGTGTTACAAGTTTTTTGTGTGTTCGAGTAATGTGCAGTAAGTTCATTTGTTATTTTTTTTTTGTTTACACATTTGTGCATTCAAATTAATTTGAACTGATCATGATATTTGTTATTGTAATACATATCTGTACTTTCTGTCTCTTGGTTTTCCCTTTGATATATATTTGTTTAGATGTTGCTGTCAAATTGAGAATTCATCAGGTATTTAATTAATATTGACTTCTTATTTGATTGATATGCCTTTTTTTGTTTTATAAACGAGAGGTATTAGAAATAAACTGATAATTTGTAAAACTTCTTTTTCAGTATTTTGTCAAACAAGCTTTCGGCTCTAATAAGGTGAAGTGATTTAAAACATCATGGTGCAAGTCTCAAAGTACTCTTGGGAAAACAAAGATAAATTGTTACCGTGTCCTTCACACTTTAAATAGATGTGGAATTTTCACAGTAAAAGCTTTGAATATGGAAATTGTACTGCAAAAAATTAGGGCACATGGCTGGATTTCACATTGGTAAGAAGTATTGTCTTTCCTACACCTAGTTAGAAGTTTCTACATTCACTGTCCCTTTCCTTTTTGATTTTTGCACTCATTTTACAATGCACACATTATTAACCACCTGCAAGGCAAAACTCATCTAAACGGTATTTGAAAATAGATTAATTCCTCCAAAAAACATTCTCTGTTAAAAATATATGAATATTAATGATGTTTAGCCTTCTGTTGTACAGGGATGGGGAATTTAAACCCAGTGCTGTGGGGATCCCAGATTGACTTTAAGTCCAGGCTTAACAGTCATGGGAATGCATGTCTAGGAAGTTCAACAAAATAGTTTCTCTTTGCTTTGAGAACCAGAGGAATCCCACAAACTGAGAGCTAACTTTTCTCCCTAAGGAAATAGCAGAGCCAGCGGCTGAAACCATTGTAGTATTTTGATAATTGTAGGTTTTCAGGGTTGTGAGTCTGAAGACGGTTCTCTTCTGGGTTGTTGCGCCCTGTAGTCTGGTAGAAGTTTACCGACGTTGCTGCCTCCATCATCAGTGCGAACACTTTATAAATAGTGTAGCTATAGCAATGTTGAAAATCAAACCAATTTGTACAGAAAGTTTAATAAATCCAAATGTTTATTCACTCCAAGAATGGTACACATGCATGTTTTTCGGTTCAAATGGCAATAATTAGGTGCTAAGTCGATCACCCACATGATCGAAGCAGCATCCGCATCTGAGACGTCAGCAAACGTCCTTGACTGCAAGGCGCGACAACGCAGAAGACAGCCACCTTCATAAAGCAGGTATGCAATTGTAAACTTGACATGTGGGGGGTTGCATGCAATAGTGATTAGACACGTTGCCGACTGGCTACCGACGTCTACTTTAGGCAGGTTCTCATATGGCCGTATAGGGGCGTTGCTGCATGTTTAGTGGTATTGATAGTAAAGTCTATGTGAACCGTGGACTTCTTCCACAAATAATATTGCTATTTTATTTGTGATAATGGTGTTCGGTGACTGTAATCGATTGGTCCGTCTTGAATTAAAATATGTTTGAAGATGATCTCGCTCTGTTCGCAATATACCTAGTGCTGCGAAGTTAGTTTTTAGTATTATAATCTTAGGTCAGTGTCGGTAACAGGGGAATGTTCGTAACGTGTCGTGTGTTATAACGTTTAATGGGAGCAACTGAGAATAAATATTCTACAAAAAGTGGTTTGCCAATGAGAAAGAGCATGGAAAGTAAATCGACAAACAATCTATTGTGTTCAAACTGTTCACAAACATTTTCAGTTAGAGGTAAGGTTATATAGCCATATTTAACGCCCGGGTCAATTTAAAGTAACCAAGTTCTTGTAGGACATTTTGATTATGGTTTTAAAGTTGTTACTTATTTTGACCCATCTTAATTATGCCAGATTGATCGTAAGTTGTGTTTGTAAAATAAATGTAAGTAAATAACATTCAATTCTAAATGGTTCTGACGATGGTAGATTGCATTTAAAATTATTCATTATCAAGACTTTTTCCATCGTCTTCGCTTTAAAAAACTAATACGTTTCGGAGGCTGGTCCAGTGACACAGACTAGCTGTTTCTAAGGGACCCAACAGAGTAGGCACCTCCCACCTGAAGACGGAGACAGAACCAGCCTTCGAAATGTCGTGTTTTTTTAAAGAAAAGACGATGGAAAACGGTCTTATTATATGTAGCATTTTGTGTATATTAGCATATTGTGTTCTTATGGATAATAAGGATAAAATCAGATAATGGATATTAATTGATGATATGTAAGAATTTTTAAAGTATGCAATAGTAATTACAATGAAAGAAAGTTATAAAGTCTTTAAGTAGGAAGGTGTATATTTATGTCTATTATTTATGTGCTTCACTCTCCTTTTTTGCTTATACAACGAAAAATGCTGAAAGGTGTGTGTATGAGAGGCGACAATTGTATCTTGGGTCACTGTACCACTGAAGTGATCCATGGTTATTGTTTAATAATAACAAAAATAAAGTATTAATAAGTTCCTTATTCTTGTTGACTCCATATGTAGGCAATATTGTTGAGTTTTATCAGTGTGGATTTTGAAGTACACAATTGACTACTGATCAGATATTCTGCATTAATCATCTAGTGGAAGTACAATGGGACAGTAGAGCAGGTGTTTATGTACTTAAAGCCTGCAATTTTGTTGGCAGAGAAGTATTGTGTGACATCCTCTTTGAATCCATTATAATCATGAAACTAGTACGTCTAATTAAAATGCTTTTAACCTTGTTATATGAGAATAGGATATTTAACCCCCTGTACTATTGAGTTGCCAGTGCCAGACATTAAATCTATAGGTTAACCATTTAGCAGTATGCTACTGCAGTGTGTGGCTGGATGGATGCCATTTAAGACATGATAATGAACCTTTGGTTTTCATAAGATACTAGACTAACATAGCAACTGTTACCTTATCATGAAGGACCCTACTCCATGTATTATATCAAGACTGGAAAGTTGTAATGTGCATGTGAATACACTGGGTTAAAATCAGACAACAAAAGTGAGCACTTACATGTTTTCTGGCACCTTTGCATTCTGAACGCTGCTATCTGATGTAAAGAACTGCAGTAGATTACATCTATTAAGCCTGCAGCCTCTTGTTTTGTTTTGTTAATGAAGATTACTCTTCATCAGTATGATTTATTCTTAATATTGCTCATATAACTTGTATTAGTCAGTTGATTTTATTATATTATGTTAAATATGACCTTCAGTAAGTTTTTCAGTATTTAAATTTTATATTATCTGAGCATGTTTCAACTGGGCTTGTCAACCTTGACTTATTTTGAAGATCTTGAGAATTTACATTAGAAGTACAAATTATTTCATGACTTTTTTTGTAATTTTATCTTGTAAGCTGTTTTAAATTACTAGCATTCTGTACTAAATTAGCATAAAATTAGCAATATGAAACATTTCTTTGTGATAAATACTGGCTCAATTTTACCCATTTGTATTTGTTTCTGATAAGTTTACCAGCATTTATTATAGATTCGTGATATACTATATAGCTGTCCGGTAGATCCCATCCTGCTTCTGCTATATTTTCTGTTGCAGCTTTGATGTTCTTAATTTTTAGGTGCATTTGCAATAAATCTGAGAAAAATGCACCTCTTTACTTTCTGTCTGTCAAGCTACATGTAACAGTTTAAGAACAGCTTTTTTCTTCTTATTAGGGAATTTTACAAAAATTTGTTTCCACACATTCCAATTTTGGTTAAAATCAGACAACAAAAATGAGTGCTTTACATGAAGAGCTGCATGTGTTTATACACATGGAATGTGACCTTGAAAATTCATGGGGATTCCCCAAGCAGTCACCCTGCTAATTTTAAGGTTACTGACCTTGGATTAGAGTTCATGGTTTTTCCACCAGAACAAATTTACACTACTAAAAAGAGCATTTATGAATTGAATCTATAGAGGTAAGAACTGAGTGAATGTGACTGAATTGTTATACATTCATTTCCCAACTTGTTCATCTTGCTGTATTTTTCTGTTCAGTTTTAGTTTCTTGTTTCATAGTCTTCTGCTAGTGACCCTCATTTATTAGGGAAGATGGAATGCACACACACATGATGAAACTATAAGTCTGACTTTTTTTTTTGAGAATAAAGTAAGCTGAACATATTACTAAATACATATAATTTGACAGACAAAATTACAGCATTTCAGATTCCCTAAAAAGCAAAGTTTATTAACAATCCTGAACATAGTTTAGAATATTTAATGAGAATTTTTATGCAAGAAAGTGTAGTTATTTGTCCCTTATGTTTCTTTTATAGGAGTCTGGCAGTTTTATTTGCTTCCCAGTTGGATATCAGACTTTTTTTTTGCATTGGGTTTTTTGTTTGAATTTGAGATTACAGTGAAACATGTTTAACAGTGAATTTTGTTATGATATTTATGTTTTTTTGAATTACATTCAAATGCATGCAGAATTAAATCTGGCATCATCTCACTTTCAGATCCGCTACATCCCCGTGGTTTGCGCTGCCCTCTTCTGCTGCACTGTGGTCATTCAGCATGTGATAACTGCATACGCACATCTTTGCGTAACTCATATCTGGTAGTGTGCGGTATTTGTAAACATGAATCAGTTGCTGCACACCAAAACGCTGATGTAAGATTGGATTTCCCCTTAAACCTGTATCTTCTTGGCGTATTTGCTGCTCGATACTGGGACCAGGGACCCGAGGATTCAAAGGTTAAATTCGTTCCTTCGGCTGCAACCTCATCTAATCGGAAAGCCTCAACATCAAAGGGTATGCTACAAAATCACAAACTCGGTGAGTTGAGTGTTAGAAGTATTGCACACTTTTAGCTCAAAAAGGCAGTTCTGTTTTGGACTTACAAATTCTCTGTATGAATTTGCTTTATCATAGTATTTTATTTTAATTTTTTAAACAAGGGAGGTGTTGAAGACATTTGTTGTTGATGGTTTGTTTTCTCATGTTGTGTTTTATGTGTTGATCGCACTCTTTGGCATGCAGGATTGAACAGTAGCTGCAGCTGCTTTTGGTTTCTAGGACTTCTACTTAAAACTATCAAATCTAAAAGTTCGTGATGATGGTGAGTCATTTGAATAAAGATTTCCTTGGATATTTTCCATCATCTAAGAAATAAGATGGGCTCTATTTCCATCTTCAGGTACCTACTCACTTGGGCCCAATAGATTGAGCTAATCCCTGTCTCCGGACCATGTTGAGCCCAAGAGGAATCATTGGATTTATTTTGTTTGGGAGAGAGTGCTTTATTCCATAAGCCATCTAGTTACTTTGAGTGTACTTTACAAGAATTGCTATGATATTTCTAATCATCTTTATCGTAACGTAAAGTTGTACAGGTGTGTCGGGGATCGCTGTGGTGAGATTTTGCCGGATTAATTTATCGCTGTGCGTTAGCTGTTAGTTAATGAGCATTTCCCATGTTTCTTTCAGAAACCTGTGCAGAATGCGTGGAACGCACTGCAGAATGGAAATGTCGTCAGTGTGAGGCTCTTTACTGTGGCCAGTGTTTCACAAAGGTGAGAAATGCAATGTTTGTTTCTCTAAAAGATTAGATTAGTGATTATAAAGTCATTGGTTTTGTAGATGGGTCCCAGGATTTATGTAAATAGCTTTGTCTAATAGTTAATTATTTCATGTTATTGACAGCCTAAATCATTTTTCTGTCGGAATAGCAAGTGTAAAATGTTTCTGTTCGTCATTACTACTTTATTGAACATTTACATCTGCAGTGTTTGGGCCACTGCTCCAGAGTTACTGAACCACTTACCAGTTACTGCAGGTTACTGCGCTAGATATGCATGTTCCAGCTGATGTAGCTTGCGTAATTCAGCTGTTTTAATTTTCCCGTACTCAACGTAGTTAATGTAGTAAGTGTTCTAATTCAGAAGCAGAGTTTTAAGAACTGTATTTGAGTGTTGACATTACTTTGTGATGGATGAAGTTTTTGATGTAAGTAATTTTAGAAAGAAGTATATGAAATGAGCAAGATTCTTTTTCAAATAATTTCTTATTGACCGTATTGTTTATTCCCAGGTTCATAAAGCAGCTAGAGCACTGTCAAACCACCAGAAATCTCCATTAGATGAAACATATCATCATTCTGTATTTGAGACATTAATCTGTAAAGACCACAAATCACATAAATTAGAATTCTTCTGCAGAAATTGCAGTGAATTGGTTTGTTCACATTGCGTCATCTGTCTTCACCAAGGACATGATGTCATCACAAAGAAGCAGAGGGTTAGTATAAACACATTTTATATGCTTGCAGATACTAACAAAACTGAAGAAAACACACCGTGGTTTTAAATGCCAATATTTGCTGATGTGTTACCCCGACCTTAATGAATTTGGTATCAAAGAACACAGGAGAGGTTGGGAGTTTTCTGGCTGAGTAGTGATGCCCTCTAGCAGGACATCAGTAAGCAGTTGCAAGCAAGATGGCATACACCGTGTGGAATGTACATTTTCTCAGTACAAATCACTTAACATCTCGTCTCCATGTGCGTTACATTGGCACGATGCGTGAGGGCAGAGACAGGTCCTGTGAGACTGTTTGAATTAACAGTTAATGAAGTGCACTTTTGGATGGTTTGAGCGTTACGTGTAATCATTCTCACACTCCTCCACTTATCTCTAAATATTTGTGATTATTGTTAGACTTTATCCGTTGTGTGAGGTGTACTTGATATATGTGACGTTTTGGAAGCTGGCTGTGCTGCTGTCTTCAGGTGAACGGTTGTCATCGTACTGACAAGATTTTTCATCGCTTTGTTATTACTAATAATACTATTTTTAATAATAATTATAATAATAATAATATTATTATTACTACTACAAACGAAATGTATTTCGGAAATAGCTGCTGCCCTATGTACCTCGGGGATAGGGTTTGTCTCAGGTACATGGAAGTAAATAGCCTATAAAGTGGTGAATAGATGGGATAACAACAACAACATCATCATCAACATTAATGGAAGCATGGTGTTTGAATACTACACTAATGTGCTAAACGCTAGTCCACTGGGTGGCTTGGAAATTGTTGTTTTTACATATTTTTACATGTTAATTTACTTCATATCCTCTAGTAGGGACTTGGTTGGTTAACTAATGACCTGTTTTGTCGACTCCTTCTGTTTTATAGACATCCTGTTTTCTATCTTTGTGTATGACTTCTGCTTTATTTCAATGTATCCTACGGTTCTCATCCCAAGAGGATTGTGCTGGTGTAGACTTGGACATCTTCTCATTTTTGTGTTTCTTTCCACATTTGCATGGAATTATTTGCTTACAGTATCTAATTTTTTTGGCTTATCTTTAATCTTTATGGTAATGCTCCATACTATTGTTCGTAACTTGGGAGCCCACTCCCAACGCGCAGAGTATACCTCACACATTAGACAGTGTGCAGGATGGTAATGTTTCTGTTGTTGCTGGAAGTATGTTCTGTTATCGTTATTGGGGTCTCAGGAAGGAAGAAGTCGAAGGGAAATATCTGCTAAATGACAGCGTTGTAGGACCACAAAATGCGGCTCCCTCTGTTCTCAGTCCTGAAATAACCACGATTCATCACGTGTGTATCTGTTTCTGTTAGCATCAGATTTGTGTACAAACGTGCCAGTACTTTTTATGAGGGTGAAACTTTTTGTTAAGACAGAAAAGGCACAGAATATTCTGTAGCCTTGTTAACAGATTTTTGAATAGGGCCTGTGGATATCGTAGTTATTGTTACTGAACTTCTTCGTGGTCTGACCAGAGGTCTGAATTATTTACAGAATGAGGAGAATTTGCCTGAGCTTGATAATGCAAGAGACAAGGCTGTTGAAGTAATGAAGAGGTTACTGCACACACAGAAGGTAAGGCTGCGCACACAATTTTATACCCTCTGTAGCGTTGTCCAATTTATGTAGGTTTTCCTATACGCTGTTGTATCTAATACATGCATTGGAGGTGTTTATAGTGAGAACAATTATGAAAGGAGAAAACGAAGGTAGCCGACAAAATCTTTAATTGATAATTGTTCCATGAAGACCATCTCGAGTAGGGGCCTAGAATTCGCATAAGACGCATCTGTGCGTGTTCTGGCACGGACAACATCTTCCCAGTTTTGTTAAAAATTGTGTTTGCTCTTAATGTTTACATTGTTCCAGTATTTCAATTGCGTCGTATGTAAAGGGCTTTTTGATTGATATAAATAATCTGAATGCATTTATAAACACTTTTATTACAAAATCTTTGATACAGTACAAATATAAATTATAAAAAAGCTTCTTTCTCCAAGTGATTAACAAGATCTTCATGTGATCTTGTTTTTATTGCACATGTCTTAAGTGACTAGATATATTGGTATCTTCACAGTGATATTTGAACATGTTAATTATCATCTTGGGAGTTGCTGTTCTTAGTTTGTACAGAAGGAATGTTACACTTCCAGCGTTTTACGGGATACTTTGTTGAAAAGTAATTTTGTATTTTTGTATGTATGCTTCACTACGACTCTGCTGTAACATGGAAGATCTAGGTATAATATGGATGCAGTCTTGGGGCCTATAGTTTGGCTCATTGTTTTATTGTTTTGAAAGTATTTCTTTCTAACATATTCTCACGTCATTACCGTTTGAACCGAGATTATACCACTGCCGATCATCATTTGGTCTTGTAATCCATATATTCTGTCATTGTTTATAAGTTTAGTCTCTGTTGAGACTGCAGCTAAAATACCATTGCACATAATTTGAAAGTTATTGAAATGGTTTAGAGACATAAAAGGAATGGCAGAGAGTATGACTTCAGTCTCGACAGTCGACTTCATTACCTGAAGACGCAAAGAAACTTGTGTTAGCTGATACTGGCCGTGACACGTTAGCTGTACTTTTTCATGCTTTGTAGGGAAGCTACAACATGAAATTAGTTGCTCTGAATTCAATTCCAAAAGTGTTGTAGGTTGTAAGGATTAGACTTTCACTCTGGGTTTTAGGCTTATAGCCGATGATTTTCAGAATAGGCCTGTTTTACCGTGACATTTCCATGCAGCCTTGTTGAAAATTTGTCACCCAAACTTGAATTTAACTTGCAGTTTTGGCAGATGCTCACCTATCAGTGATGTAATGTGATGTCGTGCAGCGCTGCATACAGAATTATTGCTAGCAGCAACGTTCTTAATGTCTCATCTTGATAATCGTCTCCCAGCAACTATGGTACATTTTCTATAGGTTTTATTTTATTGCGCTGGACTGGACTTCACAGAATAAGTTTAGAACTTTAGATTCATCTGTCCGGGAATTTTGTGTCGGATAACACCAACCTCTGAACATAGAAATGCATTTGCTTTCAGATGACATGATGGTGTATCTGAGCTGATTAAGGGAATCATGTTTTACAAATTATTACATTTTTAGTGTCATATATTTAAAGAAAAGGTAATTGATTAGCTGTGTTGATAAGTATGTGAATTATATTAAGAAGTAGTCTTTGCTTTTGCTGACATTACTGCCATGGAACCTGTCTATGGGAAAAAGATTTACTTTTGAGGGTAATTATGTCTTAATTGGACTGACAGGTTCAGTTCTGTTTGAATTTTTCTTATTTTCTGATTCTCTGAATTTGAGTGTTAGGTATTGGTCCACCAGTGGACCTGAGAAATCTTCAGGGAAGCTTGGTGCCACTGGCAGAATATATTTGTACAGCCTCTCATTTAGCACGTACAGTTGAGGCGTCGAAGAACATCGGACGTTGAACCACCAGTCGCACGTGAGGCCGACTTGACTGAATATGGTTCCATTCGGACAAAGAAATGAAGCTTGTCCACCGTTCAGGTCACAGTAATGCCACACCTGCAAACAATGGACAGGTGATTACTGTTAGAAATTATAGTAACCTCTTCTGGCCTCTTATGTTCAGACTGGCTCAGGGTCTACCCAGCTGCCTATCGGATGGGTACCAGGGGTAAAGTGTGACTGGGGCGTGACACTGACCATTCACTCTCTTGTAGTGCCAAAGTCAAGAGAAAGTAGGAGCTATAACTCTCTTTCTCCTCCATTCTCCACCCTCCTTTTACCGTGACATTTCCATGCAGCCTTGTTGAAAATTTGTCACCCAAACTTGAATTTAACTTGCAGTTTTGGCAGATGCTCACCTATCAGTGATGTAATGTGATGTCGTGCAGCGCTGCATACAGAATTATTGCTAGCAGCAACGTTCTTAATGTCTCATCTTGATAATCGTCTCCCAGCAACTATGGTACATTTTCTATAGGTTTTATTTTATTGCGCTGGACTGGACTTCACAGAATAAGTTTAGAACTTTAGATTCATCTGTCCGGGAATTTTGTGTCGGATAACACCAACCTCTGAACATAGAAATGCATTTGCTTTCAGATGACATGATGGTGTATCTGAGCTGATTAAGGGAATCATGTTTTACAAATTATTACATTTTTAGTGTCATATATTTAAAGAAAAGGTAATTGATTAGCTGTGTTGATAAGTATGTGAATTATATTAAGAAGTAGTCTTTGCTTTTGCTGACATTACTGCCATGGAACCTGTCTATGGGAAAAAGATTTACTTTTGAGGGTAATTATGTCTTAATTGGACTGACAGGTTCAGTTCTGTTTGAATTTTTCTTATTTTCTGATTCTCTGAATTTGAGTGTTAGGTATTGGTCCACCAGTGGACCTGAGAAATCTTCAGGGAAGCTTGGTGCCACTGGCAGAATATATTTGTACAGCCTCTCATTTAGCACGTACAGTTGAGGCGTCGAAGAACATCGGACGTTGAACCACCAGTCGCACGTGAGGCCGACTTGACTGAATATGGTTCCATTCGGACAAAGAAATGAAGCTTGTCCACCGTTCAGGTCACAGTAATGCCACACCTGCAAACAATGGACAGGTGATTACTGTTAGAAATTATAGTAACCTCTTCTGGCCTCTTATGTTCAGACTGGCTCAGGGTCTACCCAGCTGCCTATCGGATGGGTACCAGGGGTAAAGTGTGACTGGGGCGTGACACTGACCATTCACTCTCTTGTAGTGCCAAAGTCAAGAGAAAGTAGGAGCTATAACTCTCTTTCTCCTCCATTCTCCACCCTCCAAGCACCTCCATGGCATGTAGTGGGACGGCTTCACTGTACTTGACGACATTGTATTTACGGTGATGCAGTGTTTGAAATCATTGCAAAAGGAATTTACCACATTAGTATGTAAATTCACGTGGTGCTAGGAAAATCAGAGGATTCGTACCTGGCAAGATGTTTCCGGGTCTCCAAAGAAGCCTTTGTACCTCTGGTTCTTGCACGTGAAGCTTGTTTCAGGAATGGTTGAATAGGTCGGATAGTCAATGCCGGGATATCCGGGAGTGCCCCCTTTAGCGTTTGTAGCTGGGAAAGTCTGTGTTGTAGCGCGGCCACCGTAGTAATTGGGCTGTGGTTGGGGCAGTTTTGCCGCGTATCCATATCTTTGTAGATCTTCGATGTTTTGAACAACATATGGAATTGGTGTTGATGTTTGGGGTTCTTTGACTGGATAATTGTCATTGGATGGAACTTGAGAAGTAGGTTTGTTGTTCCTGTCATTATCAGGATTTTCCAGTGTCTCTGAGCTGTAGTCATAATTTTGCAGATCATTGATATTTTGAGCTAGAGAAGGTGCCGGGGCTACTGTAGATACTTGGGGCAGCGAGGTCTGTTTAGGAATGGGGGGTAATGGCCTAACTACAGGGTGTTCTCTTTGTGGTTCCTGCAGTTTTGGTTCATCATCGTAAGTGTCATAATCATCAATATTTTGTACCAGATCTGTAACAGGTGTTGAGATCTGAGGAACTCCGCTTTCATAATTATTGTTGGCATAAGGCTGAATAAAGAATTTAGGTGTAGCAGGGTTGTTTGTGTTTGCAGGAATTACGTGCTTAGGACTGTCATAAAGTGGCGCTGCTTGAGGTAACTGTGTCCCGGAAAGACCTAGAGACTGGTAAACTTTATTGTATTGCGGAATCTGATTGAAAATTTTTGTAAGACTGTTTACGGTACTAGTTGGCAATTGGTTAGTTTCTCGAAGTACGTTAATAAGCTGGGCCGTCGCTTGTTCTCTGTTGTTTGGCGTTGCTGTCTGTGGGAGTTTTTGTATTGCCTGCAATATGCTCAGGATTTGTGATACAGTTAATGACCTGGCCCTGTTGTAACTGTTCTGTGGTTGTACAACTGGGCTTACATAATCTTCAGTTGGTTGTGTCTGGTAAGTCTGTGATGATAAAGCTTCAGGGTATCTGTTGTTGTTTTGAGGGCTATTAATGTTATTTCCGTGGATGCTCGGAGAAAAGGGGCGTGGTGTGAGCTGCTTGATCCTGGTGTTTGTCGCTTGATGTGCGAGGGTGTTATAGGCAACGGGGCTTTGTGGCGGGAGCTGCCTGGGACTGTAGCGCAAGAGATAAGTGTTTGGTACAACAAGGTTCCCCTGATACTGTGGCACAGCAGACAGCTTGTTGTCGGAAGCTGGAAGAACGCCGTATTCCTGGTACCTGGGGCGATTGCCGTAATTCTGTCGCGCGAAATAAAATGTCATGTATGGTATAAGACGCCGAAATCTGTCATTTGCCTTGACTGGCAGTGCCGTACTGTTGCTGGCGTTGTTTTGTGCTGTCATGGACTTCTGAATTGCCCCTAGTAGACCTGCAACACAATAGATAGAAACCTTAATATTGACTTCGTGCGAACGTGTCATGTTTTGTATTTTGCCCTCTTCTGGGGTTATAATCTGCAATGAGAAAAAATGTCACACCTGAAATTAAAATTTATCTCCAGGCATGTTATATCCTTTAAAAACTTATCTTAGATATTTATTTTGTTTTTGCCATCATGTTAGAATGTGTGTGTATTGGAAATTGTTACCAGAATAGTTATTTTTGCCATAATTGCATTTTAGATGCATAGAACTTAGTGCATGACATGAGGACCTGTCTGGTATGGAATTGTCATCGCACGAAGCCACCGTTTCCGCTTACACGGCTCAGCTTTAATTAACTGGTGATGTATTTCGTATTTATTTAATATATAACTCGTGCGCTGGGAGGGAAGGTTCTGCGATACTGTGGGACTAATGTTGTTAAGGACGGGGTTGGCACATGCGTTGTATTCCTCCTAGTGTTTTTGTGATTTGGAAACGCAGCGATTGCCTTCTTTTACATGACAGTCAAGGATATTTGCCTAGGTCTGTGTATGTCATGCAGATGGAGTAAATGCTAAATGCTAACATTTGGAATGAGGCTTTACTTTCACCTGACTGCGGTCCCTGCGACACATGAATTATTAACAAGCTGCAACCTGATACAAGTTTTTTTGTTTATGTTGCATGGAACATAGAACAGTATGGAATTCATGCTGACACTAGCAGAACCAGTTTCTGAGCCAATGCGTTTGTGTGGATAGTCGGAAGGTTTTAGAACTACTGGTCTTTCATGGTGTCGAGGAAGATGATCAGGGTAACGTAAAACAAGCTAATTAATGTATCTAATATATCTGATGTTAGGGATATTACATTCAGAAGAATTAGGCTGGATGTACACTGGTTAGTCAAGACCAGACAATGGCGGAAAAGAAAGATTAAGATAAAATCTTTAGTCTGTTGTCAACGCGCATATAGTCGGTAGTGAACAGGATGTTGGAGCAGAACATTAATAGGGGGTTATAAGAATACCTCACAGAATTCATTTCTTGAATTTCTCTGTGACAGAAGTTTTGCCTTTTTGCACAAATACCAGCAGAAACTGCTGAAGATTTAGCAGGGCACACGGTTCCGAAAAATTACAAATCACGCAATGAAAGAAACTTGTCCGTTAGAGTGCGATTACAGAAATCCACTGTTCCTAAAAGCAAACTATTGCGTTTGAGTTTTTGTGGTTGGTAAGAGGGCTTTAGTTCAGACATAGTCTGCATTGACTTAAACCCCACTTAAAGAGCACGATAGAATTCATACTGTAAAAAATGAGCACTGCATTTGTTCGCTTAAAATATATTCAAAAATTTCTTCCTTTTTCTCAGTTTTCTTTGTATCTCTGTTGATGCCTTGTTCAACAAAAATCTAAATTGATGCCGTAGCAAGTATTCTCTGAATTTAATCTGCCCGTGATTTCTTTAGGAACATAAACTTGGTCTTCTCTGCGTTTTCGCTTCTAGATCAACTTCCGCGCCAACACATAAGAGAGCTTTGTGTTTGGGATATGCTTTCGCCCAGTAAATTGACGCTGTGGCCAGGGACGAGAAGTACCTCTTTGTTTTTGTGGGCCTTCTAAAGCAATGGTGAAAAAGAATCTCCTTGTTTCAGACCATTCTGAGTAGAAAATTCGCCAGACAAATTTTTACCTTAATGGGCTTGGCTGTGGTTGTTTAAACACATTATAATTAGCCTGACTGGTTTCGTGGATTTACGACACTGAGTGACAGTGTCGTATAACACTTCCCTCCTAACCTAACCTAACCTAACTGAATTATAGGCTTTCCTGAAAGTATACAGACAAACATTCTTTTGTTCCATTTTATCCAATTTTTAATTCGGTCTGCCTACTGAGTTTACCTCGAGAGAAGAATGTTGGATGACATTTTGAATGTCGTTGATAACTGTGATATTTCTTGATATTTGTATTCAGTTTTATCACCCGACCTGTAAATCGGTCCGTTAATAGATTCCTCATGTCTCTCTGTTAATGCTTCCTTGTTCTAAAAGTAACTAATTTGTTTGTGATTTCAAAATATAATGAACTGTTTCCATCTTGGATCAGTTCTACCAGAATTTGGTGATTTATACCTTTTTTTGACTTCCCGACAGTCGTCTCAGCTTCGAAAGATCTAGGCTCAGATACCGTTGGCTCGGCTCTGTATTTTTTCAGTCTGGGCAACATTTTTAACCTGACAAAAGTAATTCTTCCACCTATTCAGGCACACTGTTTCCTTTAATTTGCACTCAAACGTTTTAGAAAAACGTAAAATAATAACATTCTGACCAAGAAACGAATGAATCAATTCGACACACACACAATTTCTTTAGGATCCATTTTAATATTATACTCTGATCTACGCCCAAGTCTCCCGACTGGTGCGTTCTCTTCAATAAGACCCTGTTCATGCATTTCTCACCCCCTGCCCTCCCATGCGTTCCACCTGTGCAGCCAGTGTTAGCATTCTTGGTTTGGTGCCGAGAACAGGTCCTTTGTCCTTATGGTCTTTATGTGAACTGTCCTTGGTCTTGAATGAGGATAAGGATTTGGCAGGGACGCGTGCAGAAAGCATGGTAAAATGTGCGTACTCCACTGGAGTACATCGTTCGCCCTCGCGTTGCCGCGTAGTTTAGGGGTGGACAGTTATTTTCACTCGGGAGTCTGACGGGGTGGTAACGCGTGTTAGGACCCTAAACTGTATTCCAGGAACCATTAAAGTAGAAGAAGTCGATCGCTTGCTTGTTTTATTCACATTTCGCGATTCGTGTCGAAACGTAAGTGCCGATCAGCTGTTTTCTCCGCATTTTAAAACTAATTTACGTGGTTTATTTAACTTCCCATCTGCGGTTCGACGTATTCTCTACGTCCGGCTGTGAGCCTGATTTGTACAGCCCTTAAGTATGGAACAAATAACGCCTGCGCGATGAGGTTTGCACTGACTGGCCTGTTGTGAGAAGAATGAGCTCTCTGTTCATGTAGTGGCAACGTCGCATGTCCTCCAGCTATGCTTGGGAGTCTAAAAATAAATGCCTGACCTCATAGTCATCATGGCTGGCCCTTCAACAAGTCGTGCGCTCATGGAGCTTGAAGAAATGCAAGTTTTAAATGAAGTTTTAGAAGACGAAACTGTAAGTGAATGTAGTTCTGACGATGGTAGTGTATCTGACATTGATTATACACAGTTTGTGACTCCTGGAACTCACGTGATTAGTGCTAGTGAGAGTGAGAGTGATAATGATAGTGACGAAATACAGGAAGAAATCGTACAAGTAGGATTGGGAGGGGTGTCCAGTAAGTTTGTGTGGGAAAATATAGACTCATTTCCTGCTTCACGAGAAACATTTTGTAATGTATATGGTCCCCAGTTCGACACTGCTGGACTAGATGTCGTGAGTTCATTCGAAAACATTTTCGATGTAGCTCTTGTACAGTTGATTGTAGATGAAACCAACAGATATGCTCAGCAGGAGATTTCTAAAATTGCCCATCCCCTCACATTTCGCTCTAGGATTAGGAACTGGCAAGATGTCACAGTAGACGAAATTTACTTGGTTTTGGCTGTATTTATGGCGATGGGCATTGTACAAAAGCCTACGATTGCATCATACTATGCTAAGAGCCGACTGCTGTTCACTCCCTTTTTTTCTGAGACTTTACCTCGGGAGAGACTAGAGCTAATTACCAAATTTATGCATTTTGCAGATAACTGTAAGCAAAATGAATATCAAGGACCTTCCAAACTTTTCAAAATTTATCCAGTCATTCGTCACCTGAATAACAAATTCCAAAATCTATATCTTCCATCCCAGAACATTTCGATAGACGAGTCCTTGACTCTATGGAAAGATCGTTTGTCCTTCAGACAATACATACCGCTCAAGGCTCCTCAATTTGGCATAAAAACGTATGAACTCTGCGAGTCTAGCTCTGGCTATGTGTGGTCTTTTCTGGTTTATACTGGAAAAGGCATGGAACTGGCGAATCAGTTTGTGACTGCAGAAACGAACAAAACTGCAGCAATTGTTATAAAACTGCTAGAACCTCTTCTTGGTCGTGGACACACAGTGTGGATGGACAAATTTTATAATTCACCAGATTTGGCTCGGTTCATAAAGTCCAAAAGAACAGACTGTGTTGGAACTTTACGGGCTAGCTGGAAAAATGTCCCTCCTGCTGTGAAGAATAATAAATTGAAGAAAGGTGAGCACTGTGGCCAACACTTTGGAGATGTGGCAGTTCTCGCGTGGCAAGATAGGAGGCGAGTCACCATGATATCTACATACCACAAACATGATATCTGTGTGACTGTAAACAAAGCAAATCAAGAACAAACAAAGCCCCTGGTTGTTTGTGATTACAACAAAAACATGTTGGGAGTTGATCTGAAGGATCAGATGCTCCAGCCGTACTTGCTGGAACGAAAGAGAGGATCAAAGTGGTACATGAAATTATTCAAGAGACTGCTCAATGTAGCGATACATAACGCAATGGTCATGTACCACTCTGTTCCAAATACCAAGAAAATGGGCACCCTAAAATTCAGAATTTTATTAGCCCAAGGCCTCGTGGAAAAACACGGCCCTGGTGTTCCGCGTCCTTCATCCGGCCGTCCGTCACTTGAGCCCCCACCTAAGAGACTCTCAGAACGACATTTCCCGCAGCATATACCACCCACAGGCAAAAAGGCAAAACCTCAAAGGAGATGTGTGGTGTGTATGAAACACGGGAAGAGGAGAGACTCTCAGTATTGGTGTATTCAGTGTGAGGCAGCGTTGTGTGTAGAAGGGTGTTTCGAGATGTACCACACGAAACAAAACTTCTAATCCACCTGCTTCCATTGCTCACACACAGGGTGCTCATGTTATAAGGTAAGATTATAAAACCATCTTTTTAAGAAGATTTCAATGAAAAATTCATAATTATATCTCGTATAGTTCAAAAATTATGATAAATAAAGCA